CACGGCAGTGAGTGTGGTGGTTTTCTTTGGTGGACATATGAACTGTCCACCCTTGACACAGAAGCAACTCAGATAACAGAAAGGGACTGGATCAGATGGCTTTTTACATTCTTTTTCACCTTAAATTATAAGGTGAATTTATATTTTATAAAGAAGGCATTAGGAGACAATGGTAATATGTGTTCTACTTTTATATTTCTCCTGGGAGACAGGACTCCGTGAATGTACGTAATTGATAATGCAGCCACACATTGAAGTCCTGGATTTGTTCCTCAGTGTAAATGGCTAATATGTAGCTTCTATTGAATCTGATGCTTCACATAATTTATTGCTGAGCACATACTAGATTGCCTAACCACTGCAATAATATTAGCAGACTCATTTTTGATGCATAGTTACTGTCCAACTTTAAAAAATTCAACATCTATCACAAACAAACTCTTTCCAAAGGAATGCTACAAATTTTAATACCCAGAATATAGGAATAAAGTTATTTTTAGGCAAGACTTTTAACTGTTTTGATACATAATATTCTTTCTCCAAAAACAGCAAATAATTCTCAAGCTCCATGAGGGAGAATCGATCTCCCTGAAATCTTCATTTTATAATTAATGAATGGTAACGGGTTAGATGATACTCCTGATCCTGTGTTTATAGCTAGCAAATGATCATGAAGGGAAAGCGACTGTAAGGCGGTGTGAGTACAGTCTGGAATAAACACCATGATAATCCATGACTTGGAGCATACAGGTGAAAGTACTGAACTCAAACCTGGAGAATGAAGGAACTTGTTTTGGAGGCTCTGGTGAAGTTAACACCCGGAAGCACATTGGGACGAGTATGACGAAAAGCAGGGAAGAGCGAGCATCTCTGACAAGCGTAGCGATGCTTGCACAGGCGCAGAGGAGACATGTTGTGTTGGAAGGTGCGATAGTCCCGTGTTACTGCGGCAGAGGTGAGTCAGCCAGTGGCAAATTATGGACCTGAGAAGGGAATCAGGCACATAATCCTGAGGACTTTGGAGCTTGTTTTAGGAAATGTTGTTTTAATCTTAAAAGAAAAAAAAACTAACATTGGGGGTTTTAAAGGAAGGAAATCATATATTCAAATACCATTTTTTCAAAATCAAATCCAGCCATAGCATGGTGAAAGAGTTTGTGATTAAAGAGAGACCGTGAACAAAACTGGAGAGAAAGGTCATTTGTACTGTGCAAGACTGGTGGTGCAGTGGTTATGCCTAGGGCTGCGATCCACACGATCAGCAGTTCAAAAACCACCAGCAGCTCCGAGGGACATTGATTGGGTTTCCTCCTCCCATAAAGCACTCCAGTTTTGGAAGTCCACAACGTGGTCGCTGTGCATCAGCATGGGCTCAATGGCATTGGGTCTGGTTTTGGGTGAGTGCAGGGCTGATGAGTGACTGTAACAGTTTTGTAGAACATTAGGGTGCGAAACACAATTTCATTATGTTTCTATATACGAGCAAAGGACAATTGGACATTGGCATTTTTAAAAGCAAATGAATAACAGTATTGAAAGCACACATGTTTAAGGATTCTATGGTTACATGCTGAAGAAAACTTCAATAAACATTAATGAAAAACATTTAAAACCCTAAATTAAAGGAAATCCCTAGGTTAACAGTGTGTTCCATGCTAGGCCACTAACCACAAGGTCAGCAGTTCGAACTCACCGTCTACTCTGTGTGAGGAAGACAAAGCTCGCTGCTCCTATTAGGATTTACAGTCTTGGAAAATCAAAGCAAGTAGATCCGCTCTGTCTGACCAGGTCACAACAAGCTGGAATAGTCCCGTGGCACTGGTGCTTCCCCCAAGCCGATCTATCTCGCACCTAATTGCTGTCCACTTGATTTCCACCATGGTTACCTCATTTGTGTCCTAATAGAACTGCGACATAAGGTTTTCAATTTTCAATGGATGATCACTTTCAGAAAAAGGTCCCCAGGCTTTTCCTCCAGGACAACTCCAGGTACGCTCAAACCGCCACCATTTGGATTAACATTGGAACACTTTATGCACAGGTTAGCGACTCTCAAAAAATCCAATAAAACTCCACCAGTTTTATGTATCTATTTAGCTAGACTTAGCCAAGGGGGTGCTAAAATTTATGTGAAAAGTGAAAACACCTTGCTTTGTTTTTCGTTGGCATCAACCTCTTTCTGACTCACAGTGACTGACCCTAGTACGACAGAAAGAAAGAAGCACGTGCAAGGAACGCTCCCCTACAGCGATTATTCTCAGGGGGATGGCAAAGTACCCTCTTCACCAGTCGGAGCCCATCCACGCAGCCACGGGGTCCCTTCTTGTCAAAGGTCTGCCTCTTTTCTGTAGCCCTGCTACCTACACAGGCACGAGGTCCTTCTCCAGGTTCCGGTCTCTCCTGACAACACGCCCAAGGTATGCATGAGCAATTCTCACCATCCTTGCCTCTAAAGAGCTAGACAGAGTTTCTTGATATTTTGGCGGCCCATGGTATTTTCAATAGTCTTCAGCAGTACCATCATTCACATGCATCGATTTTTCTTTGGTCCTCCGTATTCAACTTTCACATACATAAGATGTGATGAAAAATACCATGGATTTGTCCAGACACATCTTCGTTTTCCAAGAAACCTCCTTATTTTCAACACTTTAGAGGTGTCTCTGTGCAGCAGATTTCCCTAATGCAATGCGTCATCTGATCTAACGCCTGCTGCGTCCATGCGCTTTAATTGTGGATCCAAGCAAGATGAAATCCTTGACAAGTTCAAACTTTTCTCCATTTATCATGATGTTACCTGCCGGTGCAATTGGGAGGATTTTGGTTTTCTTTATCCTACATTGTAATCCATAAGGAAGGCTGCAAGCCTTGATCTTCATCAGCAAGTCTTTTAAGTCTTCCTTGTTTCATCAAACACGGTTGAGTCATCTAAATATTTTAGGGTTTTAATAAGGTTTCCTTCAATCCTGATGCCAAATTTTTCTTCATATAATCCAGCTTCTCAAATCATTTCCTCAGCATACAGATTGAAAAAGTATGGTCAGAGGATACAACCCTGACACACCTTTTACTAATTCTAAACTCTGTAGTATGACCTTGTTCTGTTCATGTGTCTGCCTCTTGTTCCCTGTGCAGGTTCTACATGGGTACAAGGTCATGTTCTGGATTCCTATTCTTCTCAATTCTTTTGTTCCTAGTCTTTTGCTATGGCCCACACAATGGAGTGCCTTAGCATAATCCACAAAACACAAGTATCTACATCAAAGTCTTCTATACTAACACCCACGCCAAGGCTGTTAAGTAGATCCCAACTCATTTCAACCTAATAGGACAGAGCAGAACTGCCATATATGATTGCCAAGATCCTAAGATTTACCTAGGCTGACTGCTCCATGTTGTCCATGGAGCTGAAGGTGGATTGACACTGTTTAAGTCAGCATTAGTGCCCAAGAGCTTTGACCACTGTGCCATTGAGTCAAGGAGTGGATAGGAATTTGTAATAAGCAGAATTCAGTGTGACAAGATATAAGACTGACCCAGATAGCAGGGAGCAATAATCCAAAATGTAGCTTCCTTAAAACCTCAAACATGTACTCATTTTGACTGTGATTAGTTTTCCAACCCCCATCTTATGCTTGTGCACTGAGCAAAATGTATATAATATATAGCATGAGCAAAAATTAGACTCAAAAAGCAACAGTTTGTGAATATAGCCATATATGTAATATGGTGCCAAGCTGTCAAATTACACAGAATCTGGGGTCCCACATGCTGGAAGATAAATAAGGGGCCATCTAACTGAGAAACAACAAAGCCCACATGGAAGAAGCACACCAGCTTGTAAGATGACA